ATATATATATATATATATATATATATATATATATATATATATATATATATATATATATCGTTATTTAAAGCCTTGTAGCGTTTTCAGTGATCTTGTTACAGAAGTTCCTCAGGGATTTCAGGTTTTACAACATCATATCCCGTCTCCACGGTGACCCAGCCGACACTAATTAAATATCGACGTGTGCCATTCGCCAGATAAAATTGTCCAACATATACCGTAAATTTCATCGTATAAGTCGACCTGTATAGCAGTTGACTTCAAGTTAGATCTGTACTTACCGTATAAGTCCTTCTTTAAAGATACAGTTGGTGTCAAGTAAACAATTCTATAACCTAAAAATAATTTTTTAAAGCTTGAAAACTCGACCCAAATATTTTTTGTAGGTTGGAATACCCGACCTGTACGCTGCAATTTACTGCACCCGTCTGGCAATTTATCGTGACCGGCTTCTGTATTCTTCTCTAAATATACACACAATCATACATATACAAATTCTGATACACATTATATGATTTTAAGTGAGAAGGCATAAACGTTAAATAATTTTGATCCCTTCATGATCAAATGAAAATGCACATTTGCGTTTAGTTATTAACCATATAATTACACGCAAATATTTGAATGTCACAGCAGATCTACTTAACAATACGTTTTCGTATCTATACGTGTCCAGATATAGACGCCTCACTGTTCTTTCGTCTGAGTAGAATCTTGAATGGAAATTCTTACAGGCAAAAAAACATAATGTCTGAAAAAAAAGATAAGCAAAATGACATTCAGGCAAACATAAAGTCATGTATAAATTCTCGCAAACAAATCATTTACTGTTTTGTCCACGAGTTTGGCTTTCTCTATAAATTGCCGTCGACGCACAGATACCATTAAGAGCTCGCGCATGCGCATAAACATGCTTATGCGCAGTCTTTGTAAACAAAGCTGTAAAAGTAACGTCCCTTATGATCAGTTGTCTACTTGAAAAAAGATATTCGTTTTTGGTTCTTGGTTTTTTACAAAGATAGTCGGCATTTTTTTGCAATTTTTTTTTTTAATTTTATTTATTTTTTACCTGATGAGTAATTACAGGAAGAATGCGGATGGAATGCAGTGTCTGTCGCCTGGTCACCTGATGAAGTCAGACATCCAAATGACAGAATAATACACGGCGGCCAAATGCAACAACACAACAAGGAGAAGGATCTTTTTTCTCCTATTTTTTCTTCCTAACAACTTTTCATGCGCCTTTTTTATTTGGTATATTTTCTTATTACCTTTCATGCAATATCTTCAAACCAAAGGAAGAAAGCTAGTTTTTACTTGCAGGTTTTCAACTGAGAAATGAATTCTCAAAAAGGAAAAAAGTAAGCGAATAAATAAATGCATTGCAATAAATATTATATATATATATATATATATATATATATATATATATATATATATATATATATATATATATATATATATATATATATATAAGTTTAGGATTGTGTAAACGGAATAAATTCCAATGACCAAAAATACTATTCTTAAAAGAGTTCTCAATACAGAGAAGAGTAAATGATATTTATTCAAAAATTATACCATAAACATTTTATTGTGATGTTACTTTTTAAGACGTGCGAAATTGTGTTAAATAATTTGTGTGATATATGTAGTTCTAATAAAGATATAAAATCTGTCACTTAATTGATTGATGTTACATTACAAGAATTAATCAACATGTACCTTCGAAAATACGACATGGAAAAATAGATAACATGTGTTATCTTCCCTCTACAAATATGGAATCGGCTATTGCTCAACACCTAGTAGAGAATATAGCTTGTGCCAAGGCATATAAGAAAGAGTGGTTCAAAATTATTCACATAGCTGGTTCCAACAATAATTTGAATATTTTGGAATCAATCTGTATAAGATTACAGAAATCTTCTCTTTGCCGGTAGGACTTTGTGAAGTCCCTTAATTTGTAGGGGGATATTTTATTTTAACTGTACCTCTCTAATTATTTACACACGAATTTCCCTCTCTCCTCGTTATAAGTATATATACTTATATATTATGGATTTTAGCGTGTTTTCCCCTTTTTTTGCTCTTCATTTTCGTTGTTGTTCTTTTTGTTTCATTAATCAATTTTTCCAAAGATTTTCTCCTGATGAGATGGACGAAAGGGGCTTAGGGACTATTACCATTAATAAATTCCTTGTTTTTAAAACAGTATACAGATTTTGTACCATTTCTAATACATTTATATATATATATATATATATATATATATATATATATATATATATATATATATATATATATTTAAAATATATAAATGTTATAAATATATATATATATATATATATGTGTGTGTGTGTGTGTGTGTGAAAATATAAAGAAAATAGGAAGGAACTGGTGAGGTAAATAATTAGCCGAAATAAATAGTTTAAATACCCTAAAAAAAGATAACCCTTTATGAAGTCGTCAAAAAACAAACGTTACGACAGTTTTTTTTTTTTTTTTTTTTTGTTTTTTTTTTTTTATGCACAAATCCCTTTCATAAAAAAATAAAATAAAAAAATAAATAAATCTCCATAGACATGCAAACTAGACGAGGGTCAATACATCTTCCGTTTCAAATTTAGACACCCCCACCTTTCACTGACTTGACATCTACGAAAGTAACTCTATACTGATACTTATTATTAACACCCAACACCCGCCTACCCAACTCAAACAATTCGCGCTAGCTGTTACCATGGAAATTTTGATTTCAATTTTTAAAACACGTAAATTTCAGAAACACGTTATTCCAAAAAATTTCGCTTGAAGATGGAACAGAGCTTATTTTAACTCAATTTAATTTAAATAATTATATTGAAGTTTTCGGCTCTTGTTTTGAAACATGGGACTTCTTATGTCGCGATTTGGAATCATATTTTTAAATAAATAATTATATATATATATATATATATATATATATATATATATATATTGCATATATAATATTACATATTACGTTACATAGTGTCGTAGAAAAGCCGTTTTTTTAATTTTTCAGTCCACTCGTCAGGACGTTTCAGCTATTGACTGCCGATTCTTTCATTTTCGTTATTTTCATATTAAGCTAAGATAATAATTCATGTGCTATTTATTGGTGTTAGCTTGTTTTTCACTATTGTACATATGGGTAGGTGTGTACATGTGTGCGTGTGTGTACGCTTGTATATGTTTCTGTATATTTCCTCAACGCCCACATCCGATATTCCATTTTGAAAAGTAAGATAATTTAACGCTCAAAATCAGGGAGTTGTTTGGTCATGGGAAAAGTTTAGAACAAAAGAAAATTGTCTGAAAATAACATTTAAATGGCGAGCCACAAAAATCGAACTGGAATTAATCAATCATAAAGAACCAATCAGAATTAAATAATTAGGCGGGACTCGAATGATTATTCAAGGCCATTAATATTCAAGAAGTTTATTCAAGGATACTCAAGATCAATTATTCTTGAAAATTAAAACAGTGATAATAAATTTGTCGCTTTTTTTTTTTACTGGGCACACACACACACACACACACACACATATATATATATATATATATATATATATATATATATATATATATATATATATATATATATATAATTGTCAATCCGGCCTTACAATTGAGTCTAGCATGAAACAGCCTGTCGCCACTGAGTGTTGACTTCAATGTTCACTTTTATATTTATATTTACATACGCTCTATCTCTGATATTAAGCACTTTTATCCCATAAATATATCACACTTTAAAAAACTATATTTCATATATATATATATATATATATATATATATATATATATATATATATATATATATATATATATATATATAAGGCGCAGGTATGCAGAAAATAGAAAAAAGAACACGTTGGGTGCATAATCTGGAGTTCCTTAGTATTTTTGTTTTTATTTTTAAGAAGGCAGTGCTCCATACAGAAGTATAGCTTATATTCTAATAATATTATAATAATATTTTTTGTTTAAAAATATGATTCCTTCGCAAAGGTATCATATTTTTAAACAAAAAAATTATTATAATATTATAATATATATATATATATATATATATATATATATATGAAATCATTTACTAAAATCATTTTTCTTTTAGATTTATTCAACAGCTATTAAATAATTTTTGTTAACAAATCAATATCATTTTTCACATTCTCCATTAGATTGGCGTATAGATGTGAAAGGGTCTCCGTGGTACATTTATGGCCAAAGGGGCCAACTATATTCTACTCAACACATTGACATATATGACGCGAGTGCTTTCACTGGATGACATGCTAAACTTCAATTAGTAAATCCTCACCTGTAAGGAAAAACTGGCCTGTAAAATTTAGTACTTCTAAAAACAATCTAGTATCGTATCAACATCATTGTGTGGAGACAAGTTTACTCCAGGGTCGATGAATAGTTGCATTTTCAATGAGACTCGACGATTTGAACGTCTGTTAGCTTTCAAATTTATTCCGGTCTTCAATTTTTTTTCAAATCCACGATGTAAATACTCTCGAAAAATTGCCAGCTTATTCTATCACTCTAGTAAGTAACCGTATCATGCAAGGTGTTCCTTAGATTGAAAGAGTTCGAGAAAAAATGAGAGGGAATGTAAAGGAGGGGGTGATAATAAAACGAGAGAATTCAAAGGCGCAGAAGACGACAAATGACATTGAATTTAAATTGTTGAAGATCAAAATTGACTGGAAAGCAAGAATTCAGAAGAGAGTTTCACAAGCGAGAAGTTCGAGAGAAACTCTATTCAGCATTTGCAGGAATAGAGGAGGATTGATATCGCATAAAAACCAGAGAACGCTTTTTTCTGTTTCTATTTCTAATAGTTCACTTAACTTTTGGAAGACATTTTTTGCTAGTCCGTTCGTAATACAAAAGCAATTACTAAATATGAAAAGTACATTGGAAAGAATGGAGATCGATGAGATGCTCACTTAGTGAATTTCTTAGAGATTGAGGAAATAATAAATAGACGTAAAGAAGAAGAGAATAAAGAGAGACGTAAAAAGAGAGAGAGAAAAAAAGAAACGGAAAATGGGAGAGAAAGAAATGTAAAGAGGGGAGAAAAAGAGAGAGAAAGAAAGACAAACGTAAAGAGGGGAGAAAGAAAGAGAGGAAGATAGAGAGAAAGTGAGACGTAAAGAGGGAGAGAGAAAAGTACATACATAAAGATGGCGAGCAAGAGAGAGACAGAAAGAAGGATAGTAAAAGAGAATCAAAACAAGAGAGGAAGAGAGACGTAATGAGGGAGAGAAAGAGATACAGAAAAGGGCATAGAAATAGAGACGTAAAGTGAGAGAGAAAAAAAAACAGAAAATGTGAAGAAAGAAAGACGTAAAAAGGAGAGAAAGAGAGAGAGAGAGAGAGAAATAACGAGAAGGGGATAGAGAGAAAGTGAGATTCGAAAAGGGAGAAAGAGAAAGGGAGAAAGAAACAGAATCATAATGAGGTAGAGAAAGATAGAGCGACAAAAAGCGATATAGATAGAGAAAGTGAGAAAAAGAGAGAGAAAGAGAGACGTAAAGCGAGAGAGAAAAGAGAGGCAGAAAGAGGGATAGAAAGATAAACAGAAAGAGAGTGTGACATACAGACAGATAGACAGGCAGAAAGAAAGAAATTGAAAATTGCATCGTCAAGAGATATAAAGAAGATGTATTAATTTTCTACTAGACTGGCGCCAAGACATCCTGCCACTCACAAATATATTTTACGACTTTCAGTTGATGTCGTAACGCATTCAACTATTCATCAATTCACAACATATCAACGTTAATCAAACTATCGAACAGATATGACCGTACTTTAAATATCAAGCTATAAATACCTCCTATACTTGTGTATAGTACGAGTTTCAATCTTTTTTTTTTTCTTAAATATAGGGTTTCGCGCTATACACAGGTAATTTCTTTGAAGAGGTAAAAAATCATGCATTTTCGGTGACCGATTGCACTATACACATGTATTTTTCTCTGAAGGGATTGAAATTAACGCAAAATATTCAGGAGTAGCACTATACATAAAGTCGACTTATACACGAGTATATACTCAACAAATACGTATCCATGCTTTCTCCTCGAACGCGTATTATTTTAAACTTTAGATTCGGTAATCATGTTTTTAAATTTCATTCCAGTGTACATTAATACACTTCTTCTTCTGTGTGATGTGTCCTTTCATGACGTTGGCGATCATGGCTCTCCACAAGTTCATGTCTTTTGTAGCCTTAGGTTAAAATTGTCTTTTCGCTATCTCTTCTAATCCCTTAATCAATAATTTACACAAACCCGCTATGTAGGTGATACGCTGCTTTCCTCTGACCCTCTTGCCTTCAAAATGTCTTGTGCGTGTCTCATTTTCCAATCCCACTTTTCTCATTATATGCCTTAGATATGTTCTGCTGCTTCGAATATGTGTCCTTTTAGTTGCTAGTTTGTTTAAAACTTTTTAGTTTCTCACGATTTAAGTCCATGGTATGCTTAGTATCCTACAGTAGAACAACATTTCTGTTGCCTCAGGAATCTTCTGCATCTGTGAAGAGATGGTGTGCTGTATAGGATTACCGATATTACATAACAGGTCAGTAATCTTTTTGTTCCCAATGAAATTTTCCTGTATGTAAATGTGTTTTCTTAACTTTTGGAAATAATTTTTCTATCCAAATATGCGTTCAATTTACGCTTTCGCGTTTTTTATACAGCATTAAGACCCTTCCCAGAAATTTTACTTCATGAAACTTTTTTTTAATTTTGGTATCTCCAATTTTTAATTTGCATGCTGGCTTGGATTTTATCATACATTTTCTTAGTACAGTTGATATTTAGTCCTTTTTCCTCGTTTTCTTTGCTATCTTGCTAATTTTTTTAAGCAATTCACCCCAAGCAAGGCAGGAGCCTCATTAGCATGTAAGGGGTTACAGAGGATTGAGAACAAGAGGAAAGAGGCGTGTTGGAGAAAAGAATGTAGAGAAGAACGGAGAACAAGATCAAGGTATCAGAAGATGTCGATTGACATTACACTTGGATATTTGAAGATTATAGTTATCAGGGAAGCAAGTAAGAGGAAGGGAGTTCCACAGACGGGAAGTGCAAGAGAAGGAGCTGATTGGGTAGAAGAGACGGTTAAATTTAACCGTTTCGATAGTTATAGGGTGGGACCAAGATGTCATCCCAGTAGCACGCTTAAATTCATACAGTCTGGTAACAAGCTCGTCAGAAAACTTGCCGTGAAAATACTTGTAGAAGAGGCAGAGTGAAGCCACGGCACATCTGTGAGAAAGTGACAGTAGAAGGGATGCCAGATCAGAACCTATCGCATTGCATATTCGTCTCTTGATTTTTTCGAGGACCTCGAGACGTACAGTGGGGGCACTAGACCATATATAACAGCAATATTCTATGCAAGGTCGGATCTCCTTTCTCTATGCTATCAACACTATGCCATTTGTATATCCGAAGTTGTTAAACGGTGACCGTCAGTAATAAATCCTGGAAATTAACGGTCGAAATTCCGATTAAATTTATCTGTTGGATCATTTTAAATCCTTATCTTCTTATCCAAAATAATAGCATTCCTCTACCTAATACTTATAAGATGTGATATGAAAAAGAAAACAGTATCTCATTGTACGTATTCCAAGATTTAGCCAAATCGATGAATTGGTGGAAAGGATGGGGTGATGGATATTGACACGTAAGGAAAAACCAGAGATCTGAGTTCGAATTACGGTCAGTTTCAGTACATTCACTTACACACAAATACACTAGGAATTTCTTTCTACTCCCAGCTATGGGTTAAATAATAAGACATATATCTTCCGATCATTGTTATTATCAAAAAAGTTCATGAAATATTCACGTGACAATATAGTTATTTTTACAATCTAAAACTTTTCACCTTTAAATAAACAACAGAATGTTGATAACTTATCAAATACAAAAAAAACCCAAAAAAACAGACAATACCATCTGCCTAAATTTTAAAGATGGATTAGTTTTATCGGTGTTTATTCGACCAATTGCTTACAATATATGGCATTCCCAACCGTTTCCCCAAGAAATACCCATGGACTACACAGCTTAAATTCAGTAGCCCTGGGGTAAAAATAGATTACATTCATCAGCAAGGCCTCGATATATATATATATATATATATATATATATATATATATATATATATATATATATATATATATATGCATATGTACTCGGGTATCGTGCAATGTTTATTTTCAATACATTTGTACTTTTTTCACTACAGTAAATTGATATATATTTTGGTCAATGCTGTAGCCAGGTCCAGCAGTACATACGCTAATTTTAGATCTCGTGTATGATGCGACCTCCTTATATACTGTATTTCTCTCTCTCTCACTATATATATATATATATATATATATATATATATATATATATATATATATATATATATATATATATATATATACACAAAGTCATATATCTACCGTATAACATGCGATATTTATTTTAAATTATACGCGAGTATATATGGTAATACAATCAATAAATAGATAGAGTTGGGGGAAAGAGAATGATTAAGAAATAAGACGGGGGCTGGGCAAGCAGTTAGCGACGTATTACATATTAGTAAAGAGAGAAGGGCAAGAGAAGACAAAACTGTCATAGGGAGAGAGTGAGACGTGGGAGAGAGCTCAGCTGTTTAATATGAAGGAAAATAAAACCATAATATTCTGAAAGATGATTTCAATTTGGAACAGAGAAACGTTTTCCATACTTATAGATAGATATTCTTAGAGATTCTTCAGTTTTACCGTTTTACAATATTCTATACCTAAGCTTCAAATAACATCAAATGCTGGGAATTGGTAGAGTCAGATAAAAGAGTCTAGTGTAGACAAGTGGCATGTCATGGAAACAAATAAATACTAATTTTGTTCAATTAGAGCAATGTGGATTTATTGGGTTATTGCCTGGTTGGATTTTCATTTCATCGACTGTTAAACATGGCGTGTCATTGGTGTTACAGTGCTGAATACTATAATCAAAGGACTTTGTAAACGCGTAGACTATTTTGGCAATATAAAATCTGTCCAAGACCAATGTATGACTACAGGCAGGCTTGTCTCCAGCTAGATTGTATTCATGACACAGCATCATGCACGTCTCCAGAGGTGTAACGAAAGATTCATGGGGGGAGATTAAAATGATCTTGAATTATTATCGACACACTCTGATAAATGTTCGACATCTCTCCTAGCTGGATCGATCGTTAGTCATGTTCCAATTGAATATGCACTGGAGTAGGTACCATGGCGCCTTCGGTTAGACAAGATTCTTTCTTGCATTCAATATTGCTGCGACATCTAGTCTGTTGCCTTTGCTATATATCTTGGGACACTTGTCAAAGTCCAAAGAAAACTATTTTTAAAAATTTTTTATGTGTTATGTCCTTTCATGACGTAGGCGATCATTGCTCTCCACTTTCCCCAATCCTTTGTGGCTCTCAATAACTTTTGCCCCTTTCCTACTACCCCCAGGCCATGTTCCGTCATTCACTTGCTTAAGTCCGCTAGGTATGTCATGCGTTGCTTTTCCTTTGTCTCTCTTTCACTCTTTCCCTGTGAGTATCAGATTCTCAAAGCCGTCCTTTCTCATTACGTGTCCCAGAAATTTCACCTGCCTCTTCCTGATGTTAAGTATAAACTTCCCCCTTGTTTTCATCCTCTCCAAAAACTCATCGTTGCACACACGCTCGGTCCATGATATCCTTAGCATCTTTATGTAGAACCATACCTCCGGTGCCGCGAGTCTTTCAGGAGACCGCCCAACGTTTGCTACCGTAAAAGAGGACAGATATCACATAGCAGATACGTACTCTTTTCTTTGTTAACAAAAAAAAATCCTCCTGTCTTGTCTTACTTTATCTAGCTTTTGGAATACGTATTATAAATCTGTAAACAACAAATGTATCGTTGTTAACACATGTAGACAAATAAGACATGTCCAATTTTTGAAAGGGCGTTATTGAAAGGGCGTTATTTGGTGGAGTTGGAGGGTAATCAGACATAAAGTTAATTTCAACAGAATTTGTTTTTAAATTTTAGATTCTGGAAGCTTCTTAAAGGTACATGTAGATGAAATTAAGAATGAGGAACATCTATTAGGTTGGTGCAAAAATAATGACGTAATAATGTCGTTTTTGGACGTATTTTTTAACGTCAAAAAACGACATCATTACGTCATTATTTTTGCACCAACCTAATATATAAGATATTAATAATACTAACTAGTCGGCAATACATAGCAATATTAAAACTGAATAAACAAAATAAGATAATTACTCATAGATGATGGGCCATTATTTACTAATATATTCTGGCTATAAGAAATGGTAAAAAGTAATTTAAAAAAAATAACTATATTTTAAGATAAAAGATAAACTGTGCCGGCAGTTTACCGTTATTGCATTCCTTTGGTTTAATTTTGTCAGCAAATTTAATAATTTCTTGTTTTTCATGTAAACATTAGAAGCAAGGCCATTTAAAAAATTACAATTTTTTTTTTTGTTTATATTTTCCATTATACCGTAGTTGTTTTATTAACTTAAAAAAAATATTTAGAAAGGCTCGTCCTGTTTCAGTGGGCGTTATTGG